TTCCGCTATAAAATTGGTAAAAACTGAGAGAGGAGTTGAGGAGACAACCTTCTCATCAGCTGATCCACTTATTTTTATAATTTAAATACTTTTAGTATGTTCTATTTTGAAATACATATTCTGAAAATAATTTAAATATTTTGAAAATTAAAATATGTTGTATTTTAAAAACACAATATAAATAGTATTTAAAATATTGTATTTTAAAATAATATTTAAATACATTTTGTCCAGTTCTGGTACTACTTGAGTAAAAACAACGATAACGAATTTTTTAATAATCGAAAAAAATGAATGATTCAAATTTAATTTTAATAGATTTTGGGTGGTTTAATCGGAAAAGTATATACTTCAATTCACAAATAATATAATAGAAAAAATAAATAAAAAGCAAATTTAAAAAAAGAAAAAAGTAAAAGAGGCATATTAAAATTTTAGTATTATTCATATAATTTTATTTTTGAGGATATAATAGAAAATCTATCCTACCATTGAGAATTTTCGCTATCTAAACTAGTTTAATAATACATTATACCTTTCTATTACTTTCTGAACACAAATAAATAGTTACTACCGGTTTTTGGTCTGATACACTTATAGTAATATATAATATAATATAATTAACAATATGTTGATGGAAACAAATCAACGCCACATATACCTGATCGGTTTATTGATGAAATAGATAGAAAGAGTTGACTAATGACTAAGAGCAACTCACTAACAGGTGTAGAACCCACTCAACGCCTCTTAAAACTCAGCTCATTCCCTTGAATAATGCATCGACGTAGGAAGACAACTTTTTCCTTTTTTTTTTTTTTTTAATTGTTTGTTTAAGAAAAATTGAATGGCATCTGTCTAACAGTATATCATACTCGACTTATTCAGTTTTCAAACAAGCAATAAATTAAAGAGTAAAGGAAGGAGAGGAGTAAATGTTATCACTGTCCATAAAAATGGCTAATAGAAAATTTGAAAGTATTATTTTACACATATTTTTCCTTGATTGTTCTTTTATTCAGGATGTTATATATTGTTTATAAAATGGGACAATATAATATGATTGTGCACATAGAAATTTATAAATAAGAAACTCATACGTGAAAAATCTATTAAAGATTATTAGGGCATTATATTATAGGATAAAATTAAAGTATTATTATTCACCAAATGTATCAATGATATTAATCTGTATGTCAAGTCTAGTACGACATTTAATACGTCACTTTATTTAAACATTTTATTAAAATTCATTTCTATTTTTGTTTCCTAATTTCAATAATTAGCGTTTGTAATCGGCCAAGGAAAAAAAAAAAGTTAACCTCCTTCCCTCAATATTTAAGGTTGTGCGTTTCAATGTTACTCGTGAATGAACCTTGATGAAAAGTCTATCCTTCCTCGTCTTTTAGGCTATACAAGGATTTTCCGGGCAAGGAGAGAGGCCGGGGGATTGGATTAATGACAGAGGATTAAAGTCCTCTCGACACCGAGACGCGAACTTGTGATTCCGAAGGCAAAGAACACCGTGTCTATTTTTTATTAAATAATTTAGTAATTAAGAAAGAAATTTTAATAGCTCAAAGTAATGGAAAATTGGATGCCCTGAACAAATACAAAAATGAACATGGTGTTTTATACCTTTGGAGTACAGAATTATTTTATATTTTTAAACATCGGTTTATCAATGATCTGGTTGAATCCCGAAAAATCCGGACAACGATTTTTTTGCACACGTGTTAGCTCACACGGCCACCCCGCCCTCCTAATTGAATATAAGTTAAAAAATAAAAGAAAAATGACAAAAAAATATGGATGACATACAGAATAATATTTAGTAAATTAGTTTTGTCACAGAAAACTAATAAGTATTTCCGGCCTTAGACCTAACCTTAATCTCCGAAACCATATGTCTTGTATTGTCTGCATTTATTTCGAGCCTGAATTATTTAGGGGCGATTTCATTAACGTGGTCGAATTTAGTTTTTGGCCAATATTACCATATTAAATTTTTCCTCCGAGTAATATGGATAGTAGTATAATATCATGCGTATTTGATACATAACCATTTGGAGATAACATTCTACAACAATTTTCAAGATGCTTTAAATCATAGATATAAAATAATTCACGGCAGCTAACATTGTATAGAACGGAGAACAGAGGCCTAAGCATACGGTGGGATGCAGCGAGCTCCCGCTGATCGGTTTAGACTAAATAGGGTTTGGCCGACCTCCAGGAAGGCAGGTGCCTCTCGAGACCACTCCAACTCTCATCTATTACCTTTCTAGCTACTTTAGCAACAGGCTTCAGAAAGTAATAGGATTATTCTGCTCTTCATCATAAATATACAAAAAAAAAATAGTTTAAATGAAAAATATGTCCACCATAGATAAGTAGTTCATACCAGTCCGCAAAGTTCATGAATACATTTTTTTACCACCGAATTTTTGGCTTCCTTAACATGTTCCAAATGTGAAATAATCGAAAATAAGAACAGTATTTTCTTCAGAACTTGGAACAGTACTTAACTCCGATCCGTTAAGACAATCTCGATGAAGACCTTTTACAAACCTTATTCAACTGATACTTATTCAGAGTGGGATAATGATGAGCATTAAAGATATTTGTTCAGATCAAAATAATACTTATTTACATTGCCGAACAGCAGACAGATTTCTATATAGTTTCTTTTTCTATATGTTATCATTGATCGTGGTTACCAGATTTGACCAACATATATGAAAGAAATGAAATGAAAATATTTTTTTATAATCCTTTGACTGTTGTCCCTTTAGGACAGATTATAGATGCAGAAAAAATACCTGTGTAGCCATATATTAAATTAAATATTTACAAATTTCATTAAAATTAAAATATTGGAAGAAGAATAAACAAAAAAAACAACACTAAAAGCAAACAGATATATATAAAACAAACACGAGAAAATAAAATAACATAATTGAACAAAATCATTTCTGGGGAACTTAAAAAGTTCTCTTATCTAAATTTTGTGATCAATCGGGTTGGGAAAGAAGTAGGTGCTTAAAAAGGAGAGATTTAAATCAGGAAATGGATTGTGCATGTCGGCTATCGGGAGGGATGGTATTGCAGAAGGATAAGGCTTGAATTATAAAGGATTTGTCAAACGCAGAAGTTCGGTGAAGAGGTAGATAGAGATCGGAAGTACGAGATCTAGTGGGACGGGATTGAATGGGAAATTTAAATTGTATGCTGTGAAAAATATAGGAAGATCGCTGAGTTCTGATGGCTTAGTATAGAAAAGTAGATAGGAAGTGCAGACGGCGGTTGGATGTATAGAGCCACTTCAACTTGGTGGTTATATGCGTATATCTTGAGATTCCGAAAACAAAACGTATTTTGCAATTCATTAGGGGTTTAAGTTTGGCCTCGAATTCTCCCGAGCGTTCGTCGTACACCAGACAGCTATAGTCGAAGCGGGGAAACACAAGAGAGGAAACCAGGAGGTGACGGGATTTGTATGGAAGGAGATACCGGAGACGGTTAAACTGTTTCAAGGTAGAGATAGGGAAATTTGGGGAATGTGTGGTTTCTAGAAGAGGGTTTCATGAAAGGTAACACCGAGGTTTTTTTACTGAAGTATGGAATGAGATAGGTGAGTTGTTCAGGAAAAGATTGTGTAAAGTGTGAGTAAGGATTTGAGGAGTGAGGGAGATCCGAGCAAAACATATAGAGCATAAAATAAACTTTACTTTCGGACTATGTCCCTTAAGAATAAAAACATCAGTACAAATAAATTAAATATAACTACATATGAATGGTACAATGATATGATATTGGTATTTCTGATATACGAGACACTAGTCAAAATCATCATATGATTTGAGAGAAAAATCCAGCGTGCGATAAATTGACTGGACTGAATACTAACACAGGAAGAAAAAAAGTAATAACGAACTGCTTGTAGAAATTGGTTAATCAATATCTCATGAAATGAAGGCAAGGGTGTTAGGATGGATGAGATGTGTAGTTTGAAGAATATATCATGAATGTCTCAATGATAGCCAAAAGACCAGGTGATAGTGCTAAAACTAGGTGGATAATTATAATTAACAAATATCCGACAAACTGGAAATCCATAGCCCAAGAAAGACAAAGGTAAAGAAAACTGTAAATATCAACAAGGTCTGTAAAGCTAATAGAAAACAAAATATTTAGAACAGGGATTGAAACTTTTATAAAAAGTTCCATTTTAACAGTTTTTGTCATATTTTTTAGGATGAAAGTTCTAAAAATATAAGTTTTAAGGAACTTTTTTTTTTTATAAAGCTCTAGGTTTGTGGTAAAAGTTTAAATTTTATTTATTCAAATTAAAAACAAACAGTATTTGGGCTTAGATTAGAGTTATAAGTTTTCTCAAATGAATTACACATGATTCTAATTTGTCAATTGTCTGAGTAACTAATGAATAAATGTTGTTCTTTAGATTGACTTTTTAGCAAAATGGGCAAAACTTTTAAATATATGTTTCTTAAAAATAACAGTTCTGTAAAATCTTTAATTGAAAAAATTTTAAGAGAAAAAGTTATAATTGCGAAAGAAATGAAAAACTATCTACAATAAAAACTCCGGTGAATTTATTTTTAAAATAAAAGTTTTTTGTTTTGTTTCAAGCCATGGTGGAGAAATCTCTATTCAAGCGTATCATGTTATAATAATATTTTATATGAAGATTTTTTTTTTAAACTCCTATTGTTAATGAAAAATTACACAATAGTCTTTAAACATTTGGGATCAAACACCGAAGTCGATACCACATGTTTCAGTTCCCAGAGGATTTGAATTCTAACTGTTCTCGAGATATTTATTCAACAAGGACGGGTTTCAACAAGAGAAAGCAATGGTAGGAGACTCAACATGTGTTTGTAATTTCCGATGCTAAGTGCGAAACCGGAAGAAGGCAGCAATCAGTACAAGTAGGTACCGGCTAATAAGGGAGGTGTGGGTGTCCCGACCCACACATGCTAACCCCAGGGTTTTTCCTTGAAGAGGCAGTCTTCGGGGTCGTAAGCAATGTTCACATCAGGGGACGTTAAAATATTATTATCCTACAGACAAAAGGCCTATTGTAAAATGGAATCAGTAAAATTTAGAAATAATTACCCTTCAAGAGAAAAAATAGAAACAAAATATATAAAGTTGAATGGGCGGAGGAGGTTATTATACAACCTCTGTATTCTCGAGACAAAAGTCGTGATGGTTCGAACATGTATGAGTTGAATTTTATAATTTTATTTCACCTAGGATTTAGAGAGCAAGGTTAGGCTGAAGGCGGGAAATGCTTGTTATTTTTCTGTGACAAAATTACTTAGCTCTCGCCTCCTATCCTAAAAGTTAGAATCTATAAAACCATCATCCTACCTACAGTTCCATATGGATGCGGAACGTGGTCGCTTACATCAAGGGATGAGCAACGTCTTAAAGTTTTAGAAAATAAAGTATTGTGTAGAATATTTGGAACGGAGATGGATGAATTAACCGGAGAGTTCAGACGGTTACTCAACGCCTAATTGTGTGAATTATATCCGGTTAATATAATTGACGTAATTACATCGCGGAGAATTAAATGGGCTAGTAAAATTGAAGAAATTAGTAACGAAATATATTTGCTGTGTCGACTGGTAAACATCCGAGGAGTAGAGCGAAGCGGAGATGGGAAGATTGCGTTAAGGCCTTTCTGAAGGAATTTGGTTTGGATGGCGATCGGTGGAGGGAAGTGTGTTGACAGCGATGGGAGGTGTCGGCATCGAACCTTTGGGTTCGTTCAGCCATTTATTAGTACTAATATTATTACTACATACCACCTAGGATAGCTTCATAACCTGAGAAATACCTCGTCTTTCTTGCCTTGATTAGTACAAATTTAAGTTGACAGAAACAAAATAACTCAAATTTTAACAACATAAATATTTATCAACATATATTATATTGCTTTCACTATTTATTTATTTTGTTGCTTATAGATCTATCTAATAAATAATCACATTTAGTTTTTGATTATTGTTCATTAATGAACGTTTCGGAGAAGTTCATCACTTCAGCATCTAAGATAATACTATTGAGGTTGTTTATAGGTTCTATCATAAAGCAGTCATTTTTAATTTTGAAACATATATACGTATATAAACATATGACAATATAAATTTTTGTATATACATTTGTAATCATAATAATATACTTACATGATGTGCCGCATAATTGGGTTAGTCCTAGTTCCTAACAACATTCATTAATAAACAATAATCCAAAACTAAATTGGATTATTTACTAGATTGACCTATAGGCCAAAAAAATAATGAAAAGATAATTTAGAAAAAGAGGTCAAAAGTGAAAAATGGAAAATATAATAGTGTTTATTATTTTTATGTTATTTGTATGTATTATGTTCAGTCGAATGATTAGCCGAATAAATATAAAGAAACTATATATTTTCCAAAAACAGATTAAGTAAATGAAAATGTTAGGTTATAATTGGAAAAATTATAATTAGACTTTTCTCTCTTATAAAAAAAAAAAAAACTCTTTTAATAAAATAATTCAACAACGTGTCGGAGAGAAAATAAAAACAAACCGAAGATCAAAACACACCACGACATCCAAGCGCATACTGGAGTGAGGTAATACAACTGAGGAAGGTCAGTCTCAAACATCTGATCAGAAAAAAAAAAACAGATGAAAAACGATTACGATCTAAAATATATAAATATGCTACAAAATAATGCAAATAATAATAACAATAATGAATAATTAGAAAACAAATTTAAAATACACATCAAAAGGAAGGTTATTTAATAACAGCTGGTAGCACTGATAGTAAGGGAAGATTGCAGAAGGAAGTATTGTATGACGATTGGTAATATAGGCACCGAACATTTGGCCTCACAAAAACTTATATTATTAATCTAATTATAGCAATAAAATATATTCTGCCTTTAATAACACAGTAAGCAGAAGTTATAATATTTAAAACTCATGTCATTCTAAATAATACTTTTATAAAGAAAGAATTCATCTAATTTATAGTATGCATATCTATTTTACAGATTAAATAGACAAGAAAAATAAAAAAAAAGATAAAAATATTGTTCTTTGACTAAATCACATAAAATTAAAACAAATATTTAGAAAAATCATAATACATAAATAATTTTAGTTATAAGCGTGATTTCTATATTTTTCTTCTCTTGCAGTGAAACCATTTAATATAAGTTCACAACTCACTAAACGTAACACACAAAAAAAATTGTTTAAAAAGAACAGTATACGAATTCGGATTATTTACATAGTAAATAAAATAAAAAAAAGAAAAATCTATACACCAGCAGTTCTCAAACCGTGATCCCCTCTCGGAATAAAAAATGTTTGCAGCACACTTGTCGGACTGAAAAAAATCTCAGCAGTTTCCCTTAATGCATTGAATCTTTACCCATTTTTAATTCAATACGTATATGTATGTACATATATATATATATATATATATATATATATATATATATATATATATATATATATATATATATATATATATATATATAAACTAATTATAATATTTTATATTTTTAAAATATAAATATATATATATATATATATAACAAATAAGAAATATATATACAACAAATAATTTTTTTTTCCCAGAAATTAACTTGAATTTGATCGATTTATATTTTTGTCCTGTTATTAATAAATATAAAATTATTTATCTCAACTGTTATTATTCTTTTTATTTTTATTTATTAAAAATACCAACTCTATTTATTTAAACTGAAAACAAGATTAGGTACACTTTTAAATTTAGAAGCGTGTTTATTTTCTTAATTTCTATTTATTAATAAGGATATAGTTAACCTTTTTATATTTTTTAACCTTTTTATAAATTAATGTCCAGTGCGAAATGATACTATTAATATTATGGTAGTTCACGCTATTATTTTTATTCTTTCGGACATAGTTTAGGTAGTTGAACTTAACATTAATAAATATAAAATTATGAATATTTAGAAAACTTGCTCATCAAATCTGAAATATTAAAAAATCAAATTAAATATGGCTGCCGCAATCCCACAGTGATACTAGTATGATATTGACCCCAAATTCTAAGAAGCAGAGGAAGTTTTATGTTTCAGCTTGTGGAGAACAATTCATTTATTTACACAGTAAATGAAAAAAATAAAAAACCGCTACTTGTTTTAATGAAAATGTTTTATCTCAACTGTTTATTCTTTTTATTTTCTTTTTTTAAACATTACGAAGGATGAATATATTCTCTACGCTTTTTAAATGTACACTGTTTTTAGTAGTCCGTATTTACAGAATAGCAGATCTGTTAATTATTGTAACTAGCTCTAGTATAGTTTAGGTATATTTTTTTAAACCAAGATAAATTTTAAAAAAATAATTATTTTGTTCCTAATAAAAATATTTGGCACGGTGGGAATGTTACACAAATTAGATAGAAATTTATTTCAGCTAGTTAATATCTAATGAACTCTTCATTTAAAATTATTACTGGAACTAAAATTATTGAACTAGGCTAATCACAGATTTTCTTCGCTCGTAAACATTCCTTGAAATATGTTCTCAAAACTATACCAAGACAAGTTTTTCTTTAAAAATGATTCACTAAAATTCTGTAGGTACATATTTTTTAAAGCTTAAAATAAATTTTAAAAGTCTCCATTTAGTTTGTAACGAAATGCTAAGCCATCAAAGTAGAAAAGGTCACATTTCTTTCCATTTTTCTACATTTTTTAACTTTGTACTATTACGTTATACTATATATCTATATTACTACCCTTATGTAATTGCTTTGTTATAATCTCAAAAAAGTGTTTAAGTGAAACTCCTTGCTGAACACACCTCCCTATAGAAGACCTGCAAATTAATGTCGAAACGTTGGCTTTTAATAAAATAGTTTTGCCACTATTTAGTCTATTTATGACCACCACCGCGGACCATCTCCTTCCTTAAAGCAATGATAAAAATTGGCTCTTCTAGTGAGTTCTTTTCAGAGAAAAAGTTGCTGTAAATATATGTTTACATTATATTAGTAATGATTTAATTTTGGGAATAACCGTTATTCCATTTTTTCTTCTTCATTTTTTGTACTCTAATAAGTATAGGCATTATAATTTAAAAAGAGAACTTATTAACACAGGTCATTCACAGAAACAAATACGCACCAATGAAAAAAAAATTTGTTTTGTATTAATTTGATTGGGAGAAGTAGAGCCTGAATAGTGCTTTATAGCAAGTGATGTGAACTTTCGATGGAGATAATACTACATCGTGAATAATAATTTTTATAAAGTACCGATAAAACTGATTATGTACTTGGTTATTATGGAATCGTGGTAATTAACTCTTGCTGATAACTTTTTTATACAGCGGCAGAGACCACTGGCTGTGAGGATTAGTTAGCATCTCGTCTCATCTTTACGGCCTCCTTAATAACAATTAAGTTCTATTTTAGGGCTCGTTATGACGCAGCGCAAGAACAGCTGTTTCTCAGCCTGAACCATAAAACTGTAAAACTTTGTTTCGTTTTAATGCAAATTTCGTAAACTTATTTAAATCTTCCCATTCAAAAAAGAAAACAAATAAAAAAAAACTATGGAGTGTGAAATACAAATCATAAATCACAGCTCATTACAAAGAGGATGAAATGTAGAAACATTTTCCTCGCTTACAGTATGCAGGTCCGATTTTAAGTTTCTGAGATATTTTAATCCATATCATTTAGTTTTCGACACTATTTTTTTTCATTTTCACCTCTAACAAGGTATCGCGTTAAGATACAATTTTAAATAATAGCTTATTACAAAGAAGATTAAATGGTAAAAAATTCCTACAGTATAGTTTTTGAGATATTTTAATCCATATTCAAAAACACTCCAATTAGTCATCTTAAGCCGACTTTATCCGAACGTTACACATCGGAGATCTGACGGCTTAATCTAATTCACTTACCACAAAATAATGTGCAAACAAAAATGTTTTCACTTCAAAA